TTTTTTTTTTTTTTTTTTTTTTTTTGTGGTTGGGGATCGAACTCGGGTCCTTGCACTTGCGAAGAGGCCACCGAACCACTGAGCTAAATCCCCGGCCCTTGGTGGGTGTTTTGAATGGCTTCATTTTCCCTCTCAGTCAACCTACTTGGCTTAGGGGCAGTCTTTGTTTATTCCTCAAAAAGCACTTAAAAGTTTCTGAATTCATTACTCATTACAGGTAGCTCACTGTCTGTAGGTATAAATGTGAACATCTCCAGTAATATTATTTTCGTAAGTGTCATCATCATCACCACTACCATCACTGCTACCTCCTCTATCATCACCTTCAGCAATAAGACCATCACCACCACTGGTGCGGATCACCTACACCACCATTACTGCTATCACTGCCAACATCAGCATCACGACCATATCTACCACCCCTATCACCACTGCTACCATCAGCATCATCACTGTTGCCACCAGCATCATCATCTCCATAACTACCCTCCTGCCAGCATCATTACTGCTGCCACGGGCAGCAGCAGCAGCTGGGTACTAACCATCTATTAAACACTTTCTACAAAGAAAGCACAAGCATCACACTGCTTTTCCATGCACATTCTCAATCTTTTCAACAACCCCCACATGTGGATGATATTACTAGCTATACTGTACTGATGAGGAAACTAAAGTCTAGAAGGTTAAGAAACTGCCCAGGGTCACTCATGTAACCAGTATTGGAATTGGAATAAAAATTCAAGTCTGTCTGGGCAATAGCCTGATCCCCTAATCATTAACTACATTGCCTTTATTCAAGTCTTTCTTTCCAAAGTCTGTCTTTGTTCATGGAGACTTAGCTGTTCTGGAATTTCTTCATATTTACTTTGTCCTCCAAGGAAAGCAAGTTTAGTCTAAGGGAAACTGTGGTGGCATGGCTTCCTACAGCTATGGTGTCATCTTGCTGATGGAAAGAGCCTGTTGCAGAGGTTTAAAGAAAAAAAAAAAAACCTCCCAATGTGGAGATGGCAGTGGGATCTGGGGCTGGGGAAAGAGGAGGGTGGAGAGAGGAAGGGGAAGTAAAAATGATTAATATGTAGTATGTATATGTAGCAATTTCCCTAGATGAATGTATTTATTATGCATTACAAACATATACTAATAAAAACCCAGAAAACAATAAATTATCATTTACCTAAAATAAGACCCCAACTTTCTTTTATCATGTTCTTTTAAAGTTTCAAACTCTTATTGCTTCCTAATGAGTGTTTATCATGTGACGTGACTCCCCTGACCTTCATCAAGCCCCTCTCTCTTTGCTACCTTCTTGTGTTGATGATGCATCCAAGGTTTCAGATGTCATCACCAACCATGTGTTTATATATTGTGACTCTAAAGTTCATCATGTATCATTTTATTAGGGCGTTGTTGGTCCAGACTGATATGGACATCCAGGAAGAAAAGGAGCAAAGGTGAAGATTGCTTATAGGATATTCTGACCTAAAAGTATAGTTTTTATTTTATTTTACTCCAATAAGAGCGTATTCAAAGTGGTATGCCAGGTCCTGTTTCATTAAGAAAATAGAAGTAGTGAGAAGAGGCTCTCTACACAAGCAGGTCTACCTGCTTGCCTCTCTACCCACACATCCTTCCTTCTCTTCTGTGGCTGATTTCATTCCCTTTTGTTTCCTCAAGGCCCTGTCTATTGAATGTGTAACCTTTCTCGTCTGTCTGTCAAATGTTCTTCTCCAACATTACACTTTCTCCTAACTAATGACAACTGAGTCTTTAGTCCTCAACTAGGTCATCTTTAGTCAGTGTTAGCCCTGTGTTGCTAAACCTGATGGTCAGTTCTTTTCTCTCACACCCTATCTCCCAGCAGCATTCGATAGAGTTGACCATGGGCTTATTTATTTATTTATTTATTTATTTTTCGTACTGGGGATTGAACTCGGGACCTTACACTTGTGAGGCAGGCACCAGAACCACTGAGCCAAATCCCGGCCCCCATGGGCTTAGTTTTGACACCTCTCCTCATTCAACTTCCAGTGCATCCCCTTCTTTCTTTCTTTCTTTTTTTTTTTTTTCCAGTTGGCTGCCTCCTTTCTTGGTTCTTCCCAGTGTTTTGACTCTGAAATATTGGCAGACTCAGGGTTCTTTTCTCATAATTTTCTCCCTCTTCACTCATCCATCAGGTGCCATTCCTCACAGAATTTAGCCTCAAGTCATCAAATACTATCTGTCCTGTGATCTGCAGTTTCTTTAGGCCAAAATCTTAAACTCTAAAAAAGCTTCCTCTTGGTCAGCTAATGGGAATCTTCAATTTGGAACGTCCCCAAACAGCTTTCTTCTTTTATTTGCTAACATTTTATTACAGAAAAATTCAAACGTGTATAAAAGTATTTCCCTTTTGGTTTTGTCAAGGGAGAAAATGTTGATCCTGGCCCCCAAGGAGAGAAGGGAGCAAAGGGAATCAGAGGGAAGAGAGTAAGCATCAATGACCTTAAGCCAATACCATCACAAGTGCACAGGTTAACAGACATCTTGGCAGGATGCCCCCTCCTCCGCAGGCAGCACTTCTGCCCTTGCCTTGGGCTACCACACTCCTTGCTCAATCCACTCTTATTTATCTTTTGAATGCAAATGTAGTTTGTTAAGATGTAGCAATAAAAAATATATCATTGCTGCAATATCACTCTATTAAGAAGAAGTTTGGTGTCACCTCTGTGTTTGGTAGGTCTAGACATCATTTGGAGGGGCATTGCTTTGGCTGTAGAGCAAACCTTGATGTTTCTTTAGGCTTCTTCTGAGCCCTAACTTTCTTTTAGCTCTTTTAGAACTAGATTCTGAAGAACACGGCTTCCATCTTGGTGGACTTTGTGTCCATTGTGCTTCATGAAGTCTCCCATTAAAAAGCTATTGCTGGGCCTGGGTTTTAGCTCAATGGCACCACACCTACCTGGCAAGCTCAAGGTCTTGAGTTCGATCTCCGGTAGTGGGAAAACTAAAACAAAACAAAAGCCATTGCTTTAGGTTCTGATGATTCAGTGTTGAAGAGCTACAATCACTGGTAACTCTCTTTGAAAGGAGTAATCCTGTAGGCATTGACATCTGGGTAGTGTATAGCTGATGGAGCAAGGCCTCCGGGAAAAGGTTATGAACTAGAATTCAGTGCAGAAAAGAGGAAAGAAAAGAAAAAATATATTTTCTATACACTCTGTAATTGGTTATTTTGATCCATTGGCAATGACATAAAGAAAAAATTTTACTGATATTTAACTTGACTTGCTGCTGCCTGTGGTTGCCCTGATCAGCTAACTTACCTTTCTAGTTTCAAATAAAAAAATAGAGCACCGATTAAATCTAGATACTTCTATGTTATACCTAGAATATGAACAGTGAGCCTATAGCCACCTTGTGCCTTCTCTGAGACACTGAAAACCAAAAGGTGGTATGGGAATTTTTCTTTTTTCCTGTTGTCAGGACCTCAGTGAAGACTTATGCATTGTTCTTGTTTTATGGTCTTGACCCTCAACTGAATATTGAGTTATCTGTTAAGATTCTGTCTGGGACTGTGTGTTTGTGTGTGAATCACACATAGGCAAAACTGGGGTCAGGTATGTGGGTGGAGGGGAATTGGATGGTTCCTGAAAAGTCACCCCAACCCCTGTTTTGGAATCTCATCTCTCTCTCTACAGATGCACAAATCATAAACAAAGTGGTCAATAGTAGACTCATTGGCCTCAGGTGTAACAACAGCTTGCTATCTCAAAGTGGGTCTTTTACTTGAAATCAAGGGGGAGTTCATTCCTTTGGGGTCATTTTCAGGGTAGTGCTGGCTTTCCTGGATTTTTTGGAACTTTAGGTGACCAAGGCTTTCCAGGAAAAATGGTAACATGTATTCTCTCATTTTTTTGTTTTCAACCTTTGTATAAAAACAAATGATCTGATAGGAAGCATATCTGAAGAAGAAATGAACATTTGAGACAGTCGAGGATCTAGGGAATAGGTCAAATTTGCTTTACAGGACATTTACTTTAAATCCTTACATAGTATATATATATATTCAATATATATTTTTTTCCTTGAATAATATGGAGAATATATTATAATGGATAGAGATTTATGAATCTGCCTGAATACATAAAAGATATGTAAAATTCACTGCAGAGTTTGTCATTATAAACAAGAAGAGCAAAGACGTTTATGCAAAAATCAGAAGGAAATCTTAACAAATAGTATATTTATATAATATTAACAAATAATGTTTTACACCTACAAATATTTTTAAAAAATGGCAAGCAAAGACTTTTTTATTTTCTTATTGGTACTTACTACTTTTACAAAATACTGGGTTTCAATGAGTATAATATATTTTGATCATGTGCATTCCCCCTCCAAAAGGGGAGACATAGAAGCTCTAATTCTGCCCCTGTTCTGTCCTAGGAGGCCGGGCCATTGTTCCTTGATAGACAGTGCTGTAGGTCAGCCATGGGTTGATACTGGGTTGATCCTGCTCCTTTGGGTTTACTGGAGAGAGGCTACAAAGTGAGAGAGTCACAAATAATAGAGAAAATGGAACTAATTATGTCCATTTTACAGATGAGTAACAGACAGAGAAGACGACAGCAACCTGCCAAAGGTGACAGATTCCTACCTTGTAGAGTATAAATAGCACAGGAGATCTCTAGATTCCCAGAGAGGCTGATCCAGGGAACTATAATCTGAAGGGTTTGAGAAAGACTTTTTCAGTTTTAGGGCAGAGACAGGCTGGTGATTCATGGCCTGAACTCAAGGGTGGCCGGGAATAGAGTTTATTTTATTATTTTTATTTTTATCTTTTTTGAGACAGGGTTTCACCATGTAGTTTGAACTGGCCTTTAACTCACTACGTAGTGCAGGCTGGCCTTGAACGTATGATGATCCTTCTGCCTCAGGCATGCTGGGATTTAGTCGAGCTGTGGAATCTACTTTAGAAGAGCCTATAAATATATGTGGGGTCTAACATGGCCTTTCTCTGAATTTGATTCTGAACTGCAGGTTTCAAAACGACCTGGTCTTCTAAGAGTCTCTGTCCCATCTGTCTAGACTCATCTCTTAGACCCTCCAACCTCCCTAAGGGGTCAGGCGGAGTCCCAGGGTCATGAGTGAAGGGCAGACTGTGTACGGTGCTGAACTTTCTCAGTCTCTTTTTGGGTCTGGAGAAGAAAGTGAGAAACACCAGAATGTTATATTTTAACCCAAATTTCTTTTATTTCTAGGGCCCCAAAGGCCACAAAGTTTTGGTAGATATGATGGTAAGTGAATATTTTAAATTCTAAACTTTACTCTTTTCAGAACATAAAAACTTTCTACTATCACAAACAGATATATGTTAGGTAGAAGGAACCCCTTACCTACATATCTTACTATATTGATTATAAGATTTTTAAAATGCTTAAAACATCCACCAGATCCAGAAATATAACTATTGGCGAGTTTCATCTGCTCTAACAACATTTGGGCTTTCTACTGTAGATTAAAAAGCTTCAGAAATGCGCTGGTATGTCCACATGACATTTTTTTTTAATAATTGAATTTATTGATCCATTTTAGGTATACAGTACAGTTCACATTCATTATTGGGATCTTGTACCTTTACATGACAGGTCTTGGTTCTCATTTTTTCCCTATATTCCTGCTCTCCCTTCACCCCCTCCTCCCCTCCCCATTTACAAGCACTTTATTTCCATTTTTCATTTTCTCATATTTTTTTCTTTTTCCTTATTCCCTTTTCCCTACCCTTCCCACTTTCCCTACACCTTTAGCCCTTTTCTTCCTATTTCACATTGTTAATTATCTCATTAGTATCTTATGTACTATTATGGTTTTTCACACCAGAGAAACTATTCAGTATTTACACGTGTGACTTATTTATTTCACTTAGGAGTTTATCCTCAAAATGTAACCATTTTCCTATGAATGAATCTAACTTCTCATTCTTTATGGCTGAGTAGTATTCCAATTGAACCAGAAGTTTTTGTATTTTGTCACAGAGGAATTTTCAGCTTATCTGTTCCATCAAAATATTAGAAATTATAGTTAACAGTATCTATTACATTTTTATAAAATAAATAATCATTAATTCCTAATCTCCAAGGGTGCCTTTCTTCTGATACATAGTCTTCCTTTATCTCAGATGTCTCAGTAAGAATTCTATCTTGGAGTTTATTACTCTTGGCAAGTGACCTTCCTAATAGACTTTTAAAGTCAGTATTTTCTTCTTTTATTAACACGTACTAGTCATGTATGTAGATAGATCTAGTGGAATAATGATGTCTTCTGCATGGGCCTGATATATATATTTACTGAGATGCTCAATGAAAGGTGCTTAGAGCTGTATCTGGGACATAGAAATTTACACTTGCTGCTGTTTTATAGTAGGCAGAGCCGTTTTCTCCAAGGCCATACATTTTCTTCATGGAGAAATTAGAATTTCTGAATTTGAATTGAATTTTTTTTCACAAGGTCAGTCCTTTGTATGTGCTGGTCCTTTTGCTTCTCATAGTATAGTGTTGTTTCTCAGGAGCTTTTGTTCATGTTTTGACATGTACTTTAGCCACTTCACTGTAGGAATGAATCTCAACCTGCCCTGTTCAGTGATTGGAGTTCTTTGAGCTCTTGCTAAACTGAGTGTTATTATATCAGGAACAAAATATGCTGTTCACTTGTTTCTCTCTTTACTATCATCCCTTTGAGGGAAGGACCTGTGGCTTTCAGCTCGCTGGTTCGGGTCAGTCTGCCATATAACAGACAGAATATCATAGCTGCTAAAGACATGGGCTGTAAGAGCCAGCAGCCTAGCTTGGAACCTTGTTCCACCACACTCCACTTGTGTGCAGCGGGACCAATTCTTTTACCTCTCCCTGTTCAGTTGTCTGGTCTATAAATGGGAATCATGACAGTAGTTAGTAGAGTCAAGGGCTGATTAGGTGAGGAGGAAGAGACTTGGGCTTTACTTGCCGTTCCACTCTTTCTTCTCTTTTGTATCTCCTGCTACCCAAATCCTGCTCAGCTTTATAGTAGTGAGGAGCGGGGAGTGGTGTCCAGGCAGTAGTGGGCAGAGGATGGAGAAGGGGCTTTTGTGAGAAAGGGTTGCTTCTGTGGGTGGCTGTCATGAACGAGGAGGGTGCAGTCCACATGACATTTTAAAGTCACAGGAGTGAAGGGAAATATGCTTCAAATTAAATTCATGTTTCCTTTCCCTATTGTTTCCCATCTTTCTAACAGCCTTGTGAAATTGTTGATTTCGTACAAGAAAACTGCTGCAAGTTGCTTGGGAAAAGCTCAAAAGGAGTTGGAGGTGTGAAGTTGGGATGGATCAAGGATTGGGGCATAAGCCACTTGATTTGACTGAGGCTTGGGTGGTGGCTTGTTTATCACAAAGAGCTCTTATAAATTAACATTTGAGGCTCAGTTCCCCCTTGAGGACATAATCTTTCCCAAAGTGGTCTCAGACATGCAATATTTAGAAGGTGTCCATCTCAGTAATGGAAAACAGCTCACTGTGAAACAGTGAGCACCATGAAATGGAGTGATATTTGCACACCATGTGTCTGCATTTTGGTGCATACAACATACAAAAGAGGAGCCTTGTTCTTTTTATCTCACCCATTTAAACAAGTGGGATCAATGATGAACCTTTGAAAAGAAATGTATTCTATTTTATTTATCTTTTAAAATGGAATTATAAACTATTAAATCTCCCTTGATTAAAATTTGCTTTCTCTCTTTAGTGTCTTCCAGGGCATTTGCATCCTAGAGAACATGCATTTCTCCACTTACTAGCACTAAGGAGAGAACATTGGTTTAGCAAATTCCTTTGTTTGGAGGTTTGCATTTTCTCCACAGTCACTCCAACCCTTCCCTGTTCTGTCCATTCCCATCCAGTTGCTGCCAGGGAGACTCTGGAATCCATTTTCCTAAAGGTCACAAAGAATAATGTTATAAGCTTGGCCACAGAGGAAAAGAATTGAGTGTATAAAAAGTTAAAACCGCTTTGCATTGAGAAATGCCATAAAGTTAAAAATGAACAGAAAAATGGGAAAACATTTGCAACAAAAGCAACAAACCGAAGCAGAGACCATAACTTTACTATATCACATCAAAGTAAAAATTGCTGCCACTCAATCATTTTTATTGGTAGACAGAGACATTTTGTCATGGGCAAACCTAAATAAACCAACCAAACAAATAAACCTTCTGAATTGAAAATGGAAAAAAAGACACAAATAGGAGTTTAGAAGAGAAAAACTGTATACACGTGAACAATAAACCTATGAAAATATATATTCATCCTCACAAGAAGTCAAAGAATACGAATTAAGATGAGGATACACCATTTTTAGTCCTTAAATTTAGACTATTTCTAAAGTGTATAAAATGTATGAAAGGGCACATTGCTGATGGGAGTTAGTGGAAAATGGTTCATCTTTTCTGAACTTTGCTTGGAGCATACATATGAAAATTCACAATAGCAGAGATTTATGTAGGACTCTAGCTATACACAGATACTTGTACAGGTATGTGAATCACAAGGGGAGATTGGCTGGAGAAATCATGCAATAGCTGTGTAGTTGAATAGATGTTGCTCTAAATTTATTGGTATATCATACCCTAAGGGAAAATTGATTCAGAAAATAACATGTCTTATGCTCCAAATTTTATAAAATAAAATGGAAAAATGATTCATACATTTCTATTTATCTATATGATTACATATATGATGGATTAAGGATAATTTTAATTTTTTCAATATTTTACATGAAAATATATTACTTGTGTATACATACATGAAAGGTGCAGTTTATATTATACTTTACATATGTCACATGTAGTTGCTTTTTGTTTTTGTTTGTTTTTTTTTTAAGACAGGATCTTGCTATGTAATCTAGGCTGACCTTGAACTCACTATGTAGCCCAGGTTAGCCTTGAACTTTTGGTGATCCTCTTGCCTCAGCCTTCCAAATGCTAGGATTACAGCTGTGAGCCACTATGCCCAATCTGTCACATGTAGCTTTATATATGAATGTACAAATAATGTATATATTAAATAAAATTTCATAATAGTGCAATGGATTAATTAGCTTTAATTTCAGTTGGTTGTGATCTAACTCAACATGTGTGAACAAATGTGTATCTCACATTAGAACCTGGAAGTCATCAGTTCGGCTTGATAGAAGCCCCATGGTATTCAGGGCTATATTTTCTTGCTGTGTTGTTGTGTGTATGTCATTTGGCTGCGGGGAGTTTCCTGTTTCCCACACCATCTCACAATCCTAGCAGTTTATCAGGCTTAAACCATCACATCTTCATTTCAACCAGCAGGGAAAGGAAAGGAAGAAGGATAGCATTTCACAGTTGCAACTGTCCTTTTTCTTATTCTGTCATTTAGAGCTTAGTAAAATAGTTACCCCACTGGAAAATGTGGTCTTTGTTCTTCCAGATGGTCATATGCCCAGTCAGGAATTGGGGGCTGTATTACTATAGCAGAGGGAGAATGGATATTGGGGGTAAAGTAGATGGCTCTCCCATATTCAGACAGGAGCCTGCAAGGCCTTACTTCAATTTCTTACAGGAGAAGGATTTTACATTGAAGCCATTGCCTGTGTAAATTAACAATGTCTTCTTATCTCTCCCAGACGATTTTCCTTCAGCTTGTTTGACAGGTAAAGACTCTTTACACACTTAAATCCTACCTTGTTTGGGGGCATTTACAGAACATCTCAGATCTGTGTATCCCTTGTGTTAAGGTGTTTCCTTCTGCCCATTGTTCCCAACAGAAGCGGTCTTTGCCTTGAATATGTCGAGTGATGTCTCCCAGTTTGATTTTGAAAGAATGAGAGACATTTGCTATCCTTGTTGATGAAGTTGGAAATAAGTGAGAGTAACTGCCCAGTGGGGGCCCGAGTGGCCATTGTTTCCTACAATGTCAGGACAGATTATCTGGCTCGCTTCTCAGACTGTAAGGAGAAGCCTGCCCCCCTGCAGGCTGTCCAGAAGACCGCCCCTGAACCGTCATCTGGACGCAGGAACCTCAGGGCCGCGGTATTCAAACTTGTGCGTGCAGGCCTCCTGCTGAGGAAGGTGGCTGTGTTCCTGCAGGCGGGCAAGACCTCCGATGTTGTTTCTGTCAGCACAGCCATGTTGGAGCTCAGTGCCGTGGATATCTCCCCTGTGCTCATCACCTTCACCGAAGTCCGCAACCATTCTGACGCCCTGCTGGTACTTGAGGAGGAGGTGTTGCTGATGAAAAGAT